ACAAAAAATTAAAAAAAAAAAAATTGGCGAAGCGCATCTTATATCAAAATATAATAACGATGCAGATTTTTCTATTCATGTTAAAATGATAATTGCAATTGCATTTGTTTGCATCAACAATATTGACATGGTAATCGACGCGTTAGATGCATATTTACCAGAAGAACTTCAGCCCTTGCTTGAATGGTTAGAAGATAATTATATCGGAAGATTAAATAGAAATGGACGTGGGCGGAGACCTGCTAGATTCCACCATCAATTTGGAATTTAYATGAGCGAACACTAAATTGTATACACAGAACAAATAATCATGCAGAGGCTGCCAACCGTAGAATAAATGTTGAAATAGGAATGGTTCATCCTACATTATGGTCATTTATAACGTGTTTAAAAAAGATTCAAGCTGGAAGAGATACTTATTATTATTTCAATTGGAATCAGGAAGGAGTCCCCCTAAAAAGCTCAAAAAATATATTGACACAGACAAACGTCTATTAAAAAAAGTTCAAGAAGCAGATACACGAGACATTTTAACATATTTAAGAGGTGTAGCACATAATATTTCTTTACAATAATAATGTTTTTTTAGTAAGCTTTTTAATTATATTATCAGTTATCAATTGTCCRTTGTATTTTTTAAGATTTTTTGAATTTTTTTAAAAAATTTTTAAATTGAATAAATAATTTTATTTTAAATAACCTGAGAATTTACGCCAAAACGGCTTCACGTCAAAACGGCTTCATGTCAAAACGGCTACGCCACAACGGCCACGCCAAAACGGCCACGCCAAAATGTCCTAGATCCGTTTAATATAGTTATTTCGTGGCCTAATTCAATTTGTAATTTAYATGTACATAATTATTTTGAACAACATKTTGCCAATCCAATATTCAATAGGATAAAGTGTTTCTAATATCCTTAATGTTTAAGTTGTTTATTTTTCTATCTAACAGCTGGATGTTGAACCTATTTAAGATAGGACAAACAAGGGATTTAGAAGAAGATGATTTATATACGGCATTAGACGACCACAGTTCGTCATTGTTGGGAAACGAACTAGAAAAGTAAGAGCTCATAAATTAAAAATATTTGTGTGTATTTTATTATTTGTATTAAAGTTAATTATATTTTTACTGAAGAAAATGGAGATTAGAACTTGTGAATGCACATAAGACAAATCGAAATCCTTGTCTATTGAGAATTTTGATTGGGATATTTGGATATAAATTTATGTTTTATGGATTTATACTCTTTATTGACAGAGTTATTGTGAGGTAAGAATTAAATTAAGGGTTTTAATCATTGAAACCGATGCAAAATAGATCTTTCAAGATTTTTATAAGGTTCTATTTCTATAACCATAATATCTTTTATGACATTATTTTACATGTTTTTCACTCATAGACCAACTCAACCTTTGTTAATTGGTGGAATATTATCATATTTCAACTCAAATAGTTCTGAAAAAGCAAAATTAGAGTATGCATTAATTTGTGCATTTGGTCTAACACTTAGCATGTTTACTTCAATCATTTTATATCATTCGTCACAAATTGAAATCTTACATTGTGGGATGAAAATTCGAGTTGCTTGCTGTTCGGTTATATATAGAAAGGTATAATACATTATAACCATTAAAGAATCAAGTTGCGGAGAATCATATTGCATAAATATTCATCTAACATTTAAAATAAATTATCTATTTTATTAATATGGCCATGTTAACTACTAACAACAATATTAATTATAATATTCTATGCCACTCAACAAATTCATTGAATTATAATAGTAAAATATATATAGAAATAAGTTTCAATAATTCTTATAAAATTTAATGAATAAATATATATTTATACTCAGTCATTACGCCTAAGTCACAAAGCTATTGGAAATACTACAGTCGGTCGAATGATTAATTTGTTATCAAATGATGTAAGTCGATTCGATACATCAGTTACATTTCTCCATTACATATGGATTAGTCCACTTCTAACAATTGTGGTCACGTATTTTTTGTGGCTGGAAATTGGTATATCTTCGYTACTAGCCATAGTTTTACTATGTTTTATTATTTTGTTTCAAGGTTTGTGGAAAATTAGACAATACAAATTATGTAGTTAAACATCATTGTAACATTTTCAGCTACGTTAGGGAAAAAACTTGGCGAACAACGAAAGAAGTTGGCTAAAATAACTGATGAAAGAATTCGTTATATGAATGAAATAATTTCTGGCATAAAAGTAATCAAGATGTACACTTGGGAAATACCTTTTGGAGAACTAATTAAATATATAAGAAAGTACCTATCTATACAATAAAATATAGTTAAATAATAAATAAGAATATTTATATGATTTCAGAACGGAAACTCAACATATACAAATAGCAATGTATATCAAGAATATTATGATGTCTGTATCATTACTTCAATCAAGACTTCAATTATTTTTTGGTATTATGTCTTACGTATTTCTAGGAAATTATATCTCAGCACAAAAAGTAACAAACATATTCAATTATTTTTTAAATATGATAATATTGTTTTTACCCATTATTAATTGCACTAATAGGTTTTTATCATCTATACTTTGTACTGTATAACAATCCAACCTACGAGTGCTTTTTGTCAAAGTATATCGGAAATAATCGAATTACAAGTTTCAATCAAACGCATGCAGGTTTTTTTATATTATTAGTAACATATACWATAGTCTATGCAGGCTATAGCCTGTATTAACTATTTGACTAACTCAAATTTTTAATCAATAAAAAAAAATCATTAATTTTTATTTAAAGGATTTTTTACTACAAGAAGAAAAGGATAATCAATCACAAAATAAATCAAAATCTACTGAATCAATAAATAATACTTTAAACAATTTAACAAAGTGCATTGCTAATGATAATGGCGTTTTAAGACAAAATACTGGACTTAAAAATACTCATGGCATAGTATTATCAAAAGCAACTGCTAAGTGGACAGATATTCAGACAAGTAACACTCTAGAAAACATTAATCTGACTGTGCCATCGGGTCAATTGGTCGGTATAATTGGTCCCGTGGGTGCTGGAAAAGTATGTCATAAATTACATAAAAATATAATAAGCATAATATGCCTTTACTTTAAAATGTGCATTATAGAGTTCATTATTCCAAGCTATTCTACGTGAATTACCACTTTCCAAAGGCTCTATAGACATTTATGGTGAAATTTCTTATGCATCCCAAGAACCATGGGTATTTTCTGGCTCTATAAAACAGAATATCGTTTTCAATTCACCAATTGATGAATATCGTTATAAACAAGTAATGTCTTAAAATTTAAAATGTGATTACTTTAAAATAATATAACGTTTGATTCTCTTGTCGGTTATAAAATAGGTTATTAAAGTATGTGCATTGAAAAGTGATTTCGAACAGTTTCCATATGGTGATAAAACAATTGTGGGAGAAAGAGGAGTTACCCTAAGCGGAGGACAAAAATCAAGAATAAATTTAGCTCGGTAAAAATATAAGTGCAATAATTCATGAAATACTTAATCAAGTATATATTATTTTTAGAGCCATCTATAAACAAGCTGATATTTATTTATTGGACGATCCTCTTTCGGCTGTGGATCCACTCGTTAGCAGTCATTTATTTGAAAAGTGCATTAAAGGTTATCTTTAATAATTTTAAACCATAAACACAAGATTTTTGAACATTATTATTTTACAGATTTCCTTATTGAAAAAACTTGTGTTTTAATTACACATCAAATACAGTACTTGGATAAAGTGGATCAAATTGTTCACATAGACAATGTAAATAATTTGTTATGATATGTTATGTTATATTCCAGTATACATTTTTCAAATTTAAAATATTTATCATTTTTGTTTTCAGGCAAATATAATAGTGAAACGCACTTATGAAGAACTTCAAACCACTGATTTAAACTTTCTGAAAAATCTTCAGTCTYCAACCAAACCCGATAATCAATCTATATTTATTAATAATTATGGTGATTTCAACGTCAGCAAAAGATCTATATGTGATCGAAAAACATCTGCAACGAGTAACGTGTCATTATTGTGTGATAGTAAAGAAAACACTAATCAAGAAGAGCAAGAGAAAATAGTTGAAATTCGATCTTCGGGAAATATTTCATGGGACACCTATTTGTCATACTTTTTAAATGGCGGAAAGATATGCAAATTATTATGTTTAATATTTTCGTGTATTTTGTTTCAAGCAGCATCATCTTGCGGAGATTTATGGATTACATATTGGTATTTTTAATATATAATAATATGGTAATATTTATTGCTGAACTCGTATTAAATGTTTTTTACTGAATATTTAATTTAGGGTTAATCTAGAGGAATCAGTATTTCTTAATGACTCTTTGCCAATATCAACGACCAAAAACTCAATCAACACAATTTTTCAATGGACAATTAATCGAGAAGCCTGTATTTATGTTTTCGTTGCTATTATTGTCATCATAATAATAGCACTCAATCTTAAAATATTTGCTTTTGTAGTAGTGTGTATTAAAGTTTCCAAGAATTTGCACGACAATATGTTAAGCGCTTTGATTAGAGCTGAAATAAATTTCTTTAATGCAAATTTATCAGGTCAGGACTATTTTAGTTATTATATTTTGTAATATTTTCGTTAACTGGGTAAAATTTTAAATTTATATTCTAGGCTCTATTCTTAACCGTTTTTCTAAGGACATAGGTATTATAGATGAGAAATTGCCACAAACCATGAGCGAATGTATACTTGTAATATAATTTATCATAATATATTTTAAAGATTGTTTATTAATAAATAATTTTTTTAATTAGTTGGTATTGCATTGTTTGGCAGTTTTTGTCATTGTTGTGTATATAAACATTTACCTAATATTACCAACCATCATCTTAACTTTTGTCTTTTACAAGATAACAGTTTTCTATTTATCATTGTCTAGAAGTGTAAAACGGTTAGAAGGAATAAGTAAGTTMTAAATTATAAACCAAGTATATTACTATATAAAATATAATTTAAGATTATATAATAAAATATAAATTTATATTTTAAAATAATTTTAATTTTAATATTATAGCTCGTAGTCCTGTCTTTACACATTTGAATGCGAGTATTCAAGGTCTAACAACTATTAGAGCATTTAAAGCGGAAAACATTTTATCAAATGAATTTGATGTTCATCAAGTGAGTTCTACAAATTAATATTAATTTGTGTGAGTTCATGTATTTRAAATGTCCTATAGGACTTACATTCTTCAGCATGGTATTTATTTTTAACATCAAGCAGAGCATTTGGATTTTGGTTGGATATTATTTGCTTTATCTACACATGTATAGTCACATTCAGTTTCATTGCAATGAGAAATAGTAATTGTGCACATTATAATAATAAWTATTTTTTTATTACCATATAATACGATTTGAATTTACCAACCGTACTCAGGTACATTTGGAGGAAATGTTGGYCTTGCTATAACACAAACTTATGGAATAGCTGGAGTTTTGCAATGGGCGATGAGACAAGTGGCTGAATTAGAAAACCACATGACATCGGTTGAAAGGGTACTGGAATTCACAAATATCCCCCAAGAAGGTTCTAATGAACCGTGCACTGGTAAACAACAATACATTATTTCACTAAATTATTGTATATTATTGAATATTAAAATTCATATGTCTTCATATTTTATATACCTATTTGAACCACTTAATTAGATATAAAACCACCATTAGAATGGCCTTCAAATGGACAAGTGACATTTATAAATTTTTGTTTACGATATGAACCGAATTCACTACGCATTATAAATAACCTTAATTTAAACATCGAACCAATGCAAAAAGTATATTAAATTAAATCTGTAAGTAGATACCTAGGGTTTATAAAGGTTTTAATTATTGTTATTTTAAAATTAGATAGGAGTTGTTGGTAGAACTGGCGCAGGAAAATCATCTTTAGTCGGTTCATTATTTAGATTAGGTTTCCATGAAGGTAAAATCATTATTGATGGTATTGAAATTCACCAAGTTGGTCTATACGAGTTACGGTCTAAGCTCACCATCATTCCTCAACAACCAGTATTTTTCTCAGGAACACTTCGAAAAAATCTAGATCCTTTAGAAGAATACCCAGATCATATTCTTTGGAATGCATTAGAAGAAGTAATTATTTTTRTTTTACAATAATATTTTAATAACAATGTGATTATCTCTGATCTCAAAGGAAATTGTTCTAAATAAATATTAATTATATATTAGGTCAAGCTTAAAGATGTTGTTGAAAATTTCCCTGATGGTCTTAATTCAAAAATGTCTGAAGATGGTTCAAACCTCAGTGTTGGTCAAAAACAATTAGTATGTCTTGCTAGGGCTATAGTTCGAAATACTAAAATTATTGTACTGGATGAAGCCACTGCTAACGTTGATCAACAGTAGATATTTAGCTTAAAAATATATCCAATAGTTAATAYACAATAAATGAAAAGCATTGTTGAATAACATTTGATTTGGACTTCTAGAACAGATTTATTGATTCAAAGGACTATCAGGAGTAAATTTCAAGCATCTACTGTCTTGACAATTGCTCATCGGTTGAATACTGTTATTGATTTAGACAAGGTGCTTGTTATGGATACAGGAACAGTAGTCGAATTTGACCACCCACATTATTTATTACAAAACAGAGAAGGCGCTTTTTATAAAATGGTAGAAGAAACAGGACATGATACTGCCGATTTATTACATAGATTAGCCGCAGAGGTATAAAATTTATCTCTTCTATGCATAGTACCTAATATTCCTAATATACTGAAACGTTTAATATACAATACTACATTTATTTATTGATTAACTGTTTTAGARGTTTAGAACAAAAAGTTTAAATGCTGAAACGTAATCAAAATTATTCATTGGGAACACAGATCAAATCTTCAAGAAAAACTCATAGTAAATAAACTAATATTAATATTAATTAATGGTCTGTAATTTAAATTAAAGAAAATCGGATTTGACGTGTCATAAAATAATGTCATTTAAACGTTTTTATAAGATACTAATCATATTATTATGACTATTGATTGTAGAATGTTCAATCTTCTATCACGTATTTAATCACCGCTTAAATGTTGATAAATAATGTACTTGATAATTTTTTAACTATTTAATTATAATAATTTATTGCTATTAATAATGATATTATAATTGAAATAAATTATATAACATAAAACGAACCACTGTTAGTAAAAATACGTTAAGTTTTTTGAACATTTTAAATGTTTATTCAAAAAATATATTATGATTATATTTTATAGAGTTTTGTGTTAAATAAACCTCTCGTATATTAAATTGAAATAACAAATGTTTTATAAAAAAAATCTAATTATATCTGAACCTTCGCACCAATTAAGTGACACACTGCTGTGATTAACTTTTTTTTTTCCTTTTGTATCGAAAGCCAGAGAAGGAACCGCGTTAGCATTACTTCTCCTCTGACTCCAATCGTTTGCTGCTGTTATTAACTCGGTGACTTAATAATTATTACTTTAATGGTTCAATCTTAAATCGTWATTATTATCATAGCAAAATCATATATTTTCTTTATATAATTGTTAATAACTTATTTTTTTCATAAACAATAATATTAAGAAATCATGCAATCAATATTATCGTCATGTTATAGATATAAAATATACTATTTATTGTTTATAAAAAAAAAAATTTAATAGTAGAGTCCAATGTACGTACACACAACTGTTTTCATCAGTATCGTCAATTGAATTATATAATAATAATAATAATCGCTTTCTTGAGTATTTTATTATTACTGTTTCGTCATCTCTWACGCYGCGCGTACTGACAGTACTACAACATACGTCGGCCGGATGTCCAACAATATTATGTGGGAAACTCTCATACTTGAAACAGTCAAAATAATCCATACAATAACCAACTTTAAGTACGTTACGAGGTTACTCAACGAGTGTTTTTAGACGTTATCATTTTTAAGAGGTAAGTATATTARTTATTTGTATTAAAAACGAAATTGTATAACACTAATTTTTATCAAACGATAATACGTACAACTAGATACAAGTAGTGTACCTAATCAACTTTTTCACGTATTGCAACAAAGTAGCCATGAGATATATTTCAATTATAAAAATAAATATATATAATTAWAATAATAATTGGAATTTGGAAATTGGTCAAGTTCAATAAGAGTATAACCGGAAHACGTCGAACAATCAAATTTTTAAATACCTAGGCYCATTACGAAATCCCTAACAATAGAATGAAAATAAATAATAAAACTTTTTTTAGCGGATAGTTTAGTGTAAATAATAATGATGAAAATAGTTTATTTCCAAAAAATAAATAATTGTAATACTTATTGATAATTTGTTGAATAAAAACAAAATTTTTTAAAATATGTCGAATTAAAACTAAACGAAATCAAAAAAACTATATAAAACGAGGAAATAAATACAACTCCAACCACTGTTAACATTTAAATATAATATAAATATATTTTAAATAAAAACTTTATTTAAAATCTGCAGTTATACTGTTTTATACAATAAATAAATTTTTTATCTTAAAGTATAAAAAAACATGAAAAATGTAAAGAGAAAGGCCTAATGGTGAGCAAACCATCTGGTATGTAGTACTTATATGCCGATAAAACTAAATAAGTATAGGAACATATTATAACCACATTAAATACAATGAGTTAAGGTTTTTAGTATCAAAAAATCTATAATAACATGGACCATTTTATCAGCAAATAAAAAAATTATACATCACCTAATAATAGCTTGTTTAATAATAATGATAATCAGAAATAAATTAGATAAGATAAGGATGAAAATTGAAGCCTCGATTTGTTTAGTAATGAATACGAACCAGTAGGTAATTATTATAGTATTAAAACAGAATACAGATAACTACAGACATGAATATTGAAAATAAAATAACACAATAAGCGAAAATGTAATAAAGACGTATAATGTCAAAATGTAATAAATACAATGTTAAATACTAAATAGTGAATAGTAAATACATTTTTAAGCTTTTTCTCAGCTTACCAATTGATATTAATATTTTTATTTTTTTCATATTTATATACATTTAAATAAAGAAGAAGAAATCATTAGGAAACACGTCAAAATAATTAAAATTTAACTCTACAGTTATTTTAATGTATAATTTATAATACGCGTAACACATTATGTACAGGTGAGTTTTTTGAATTCTCATTTATATATTTTGTTTACAAAWYTGTTAACATTTTTATTATATTTGATTAGGTTAATATCAGATGCCGATAAAAAGATTGAACGTCCTCAACATCCAAGGGACAATGCAAATATTTTTGAAATCATTTCATACAGGTAAATAGGTACCTAGATACATTAAAAGTATATACATCATTTGAATAATTTTATTGAAATATAATATTATTTCAATAGATGACTAAACTATCGACCTTAAGTTTTTAAAATATAAACAAACTGCGCATCATGTAATAAWGTGTCTTAATAAAATAAAATATCCAAAGTTTGCTGGACGAATATATTGATTTACTTTTATACACTACTATTATATTTATATTTTTGTAATGTCTATTAAATTATACGTCTATTGATGTGGCATTTTCTGAAGTAGATACATATTGGCATAAACAAAGTTTACTAAAACTACTGATWATAATACTATTTTTTTTATAAATATTTAATTGAATAAAAAAATTACTAATTTTAACTAGGTATCGACAGTATCAAAAATCTAGTTAATCTTTCAATCGCTTATATTATATTTATATTAATACGTGAAATCTAATTTTTTGTAATTCTATTTAAATTCTAAATAGTTTAATTCATTACCTAGCGTCGTCGCTAACTAAATCAAATGAGTATGGATACATAAAACACTATCATAATACCTACTAAAAAATAGAACATTGCAATAAATACAATTAAACGCTTTTATTAAATTTCTAAAACCTGTGCATCAACACCGCACATCGTACATCGCGACTACAATATCTCTAAGTATCAATACTAAAATATACATTATTTTATATTCTCAGTATAGTTCCCTCATTGACCTTATGTCAATTTACCCTGTAAAAAATTGTATTTACAACATTATTTGTATGCAAATAATAATATAATCTATTCAAATATTAAAGGATATTTGTCTAATTTGTACGCAAAATACATTTTTTCTTAAATCATTTTTTTTTTTTTTNTTTGTCTAATTTGTACGCAAAATACATTTTTTCTGGTATCTTTTTTTTTTATTTTTTTTTTTTGGTCTAATTTAGCAACTAATAAATGTATATGCACATGCAGTTTTTCTCAAACATTTAGTTAATAGGAGTGGTTACCAAATGTTCATCTTTATTTATTTACTTTTTTTTTTGTATTTGAAGAATAATACAAATAAAGAACTCATTTCCAGTACTTGAGTATAAATTAGTATAATATATAATAATTCAATTAATTGTATTTTAAATGTGTTATCGTATAGCTGGATGTTAAACCTGTTCAAAACAGGACGAAAAAGAGATTTAGAAGAAGATGATTTATATGCGACATTAAACGATCACACTTCATCATTATTGGGAAATGAATTAGAAAAGTAATTCAATAAATATTAAATAATTTGTATTTATAATTTATCATATATATATATATATATATTTTTTATGGAAGTAAATGGAATTTAGAATTGGCAAGTGCATTTAAGCTGAAAAAAAAACCTAGCTTGACGAAAGCCTTAATTCGAACGTCTGCTGCTCTATATTATATGTTTTATGGTTTTTTATTGTGCATTGATAAAATTATATTGAAGTAAGTATTCCTTATAACTTTATAATTTTTTAGATATTATCAACAACTTGATAAACATCCATTTTAGGATTGAGTCAATTTACTAAATATTTTCTATAACAATCTGATAGCTRCATAGATGTGAATCCCAGATAAAAGATCCTATCTTTAGCATATAAAGAACCACGTTTAATTGACGAACAATGATATTTTTTTTCTTCAAATTTTATATTTATACATTATGACAAATTACCAAAATAGTATTTTAGCGTAAAAAAAAATGTATAAATGGTAATTTTTGTCTTGTTTTTCATAATGCTAATTAAATTATCTTTTACTAATTAGCTTTTATATCAGCCGTTAATTAAAATGCAAATGTTAGTAGGTACAACTATTAAAAATATAATTAGTGAATACCTAACTAAAAATACTAATAAATCAACTTTTTTAATTTCGTAAAAAATAATTAAAAGTTTTAGAAAAATCAAATATTTTAAGTATAACTTRCATATACTTATAATTATKTACAATTTATATAAGGATCTAATTTTGTATATGTTGATTGTTCGTTATTTTATATTAATTTTAAATGAAAGCTAATAATAATAGCCAATACAAATAAAATACATTTACAAAAAAAAAAAAAGATTGAAATCTTATTTATTTACCCGCAAGTAAATAGTAAATAGTAAATCGTAGATAAACTTACATATGTTTGTATGTTTTAATGTTTTAATGTAAAAAAKAACAAGAAGTTTAATTTTACATAAATCGTTTGTGTGTGTACTTATAGAATGTCTCAACCTCTATTTATTGGAGGAATATTATCGTACTTCAACTCAGATGCTTCCAAGAAGGCTGACATAGGATATGCATACATATGTGCATTTGGTCTAGTGTTAAGCATGTTCACCTCAATGATCTTACAAAATATAACACTAATAGAAATATTGCATTGTGGTATGAAGATGCGAATCGCTTGCTGTTCGATGATATTTAGAAAGGTATACATGCAATACACAACATATATTTKTATAAACGTGCATATAATAAGTACGTACCAATTAATACATAACGATATAAAAATCTGTTTAGTTAGATATAACTACATTATTCAATTTTAAAAACGTTAAAATATGAAACGAATTAATATAAATTATTAGGTATGAAATTTTGGTTTAATATTGTGAAATAGGTACATATTRAAGATATGTATGTAATATAATTCAATTATCAACTACATTTATTAATATTGTAAGATCAATAATGTGGTGGAGTCAACTGAACTTCTTAAAATATAGTTCTAAATAGGATTAATTTTTTCTTTTTTAGTATAGGTATGCATTAATGGCTCTTGTTGATCTAATACTTACTAAAAGAATTAAAAAAAATTCTCGTATTTTTCTTTATTAAATTACATTTTTTTAATCATAGTATAATTTAATATTTACAAGTATATCTAAAATAAATCTAGCAATGTTTAAAAAAAGATTAATTGGAACTAAAATTTAATTAAGTTAGCAATTTCAAGCACGATTAAAAAAAACAATTAAAAATATGTTTGATCCTTACAGTCACTACGTCTAAGTAACACTGCTATTGGTGAAACCACAGTTGGTAAATTGATAAACTTATTATCGAATGATGTAAGTCGGTTCGATAGATCTGCGACATTTCTACACTACTTATGGATCGGTCCCCTACAGTCAATTGTGGTAACTTATTTTTTGTGGCAGGAAATAGGCGTATCATCATTATTGAGCATTGCCGTTATGRTTTTAATAATTCCATTTCAAGGTTTGTGGAATGTGATGCATTTAAATTTATTATAAAAATTATATAATAACGAGTATATGAAGCAACATTGTTATAATATTCTAGGATGGCTAGGGAAAAAAATTTCAGAAAATCGATTGAAAACAGCTAAAAAGACTGATGAGAGAATACGTTTGATGAATGAAATAATTTCTGCCATTAAAGTAATCAAAATGTACACTTGGGAAAATCTATTTTCAAAATATGTAAAATTTATAAGAAAGTATGTTTTTATAAGTTTTATAAGATGATATCAAATAATTGGTATCGGTACATAATATACATTTTTTTTGCGTATATAATTTTGGATTTAATTGCAGAAAAGAAATTGAACATTTAAAAACATCATCATACATCAGAGATATTTTGTCGTCATTAGCAATAATTCAAACTAAGTTTCAACTATTCGTTAGCATTTTGTCATATGTATTACTAGGAAATTATATCTCCGTCCAAAAAGTAATAAATGCATGAACATTTTTTGTATTTAATGCTATATAATATTATAATATGTTTAACGTTTTTAGATTTTTGTCATAACTACATATTTCAGTATATTAATGCCGACAATGACTTTTTTTTTTTGTCAAGGTCTGGGACAAATTTCAGAACTGCGAGTATCAATAAAACGTATACAGGTATTTAAATAATTATGTTAATTAAGTAACAAGAATTCAAATTTCAACATAATATTAACTTGAATTACAGAATTTTTTATTACATGAAGAAAAAGGTGATAATATTATAACAAACCAATATACTGTTRACAAATCACTGATAGGTAGACATAACGAATTAATAGACACTTATAGAAATTGTACCGATATAAAAGATGAGAGTGGACATTTAAATCATTATTGTATGGTTATTTCGAAAGCTACAGCAAAGTGGATAGACAATCAAACCAGAAATTCTTTAGAAAACATATCACTGGCTATAAAACCTGGTAGCTTGGTGGCAATCGTTGGGACCGTAGGAGCAGGAAAAGTTTGTGATATATTAATTTAATTTAATGTTCTTATGAAACTGTCACTATAATTATAAGTTACATTATAGAGTTCATTAATTCAAGCTATTTTACGAGAATTGCCACTTTCCGAAGGTGCCATTCATGTGCGTGGTGTAATTTCTTATGCATCTCAAGAACCATGGATATTTGCTGGATCTGTTCAACAGAATATTGTGTTTAATTCACCGATGAATAAGGATCGTTATAATCAAGTAAATATTTGAAAATTATGTATTCAATTCKCATAATTTAATTTTCTAATTTGATTTTGAAATAGGTAATAAAAGTATGTGCATTGAAAAGCGATCTTGAACAGTTTCCTTACGGTGATAAAACAATTGTGGGTGAAAGAGGAGTTACTCTAAGTGGTGGACAAAGAGTAAGAATTAGTTTAGCTAGGTAATGATGCAGATAAATACAAATATTACTATACATAAAATATTTATTATTTTGTATTGAGGGGATCCATTTTCTTTCAGAGCTTTATACAAAAAAGCGGATATTTATTTATTGGATGACCCTCTTTCAGCGGTTGACCAAAATGTTGGAAGTCATTTATTTAAAATATGCATAAAAGGTTATTATACAAAATGATTAAATGATTTTACTTTAGTCTTTAATAAATTTTACGTTTTAATAGGTTTTCTCAAAGATAAAACTTGTATTCTCGTTACTCATCAAATGCAGTTTTTAGCCGATATGGATCAAATTGTTGTTATGGAAAATGTAGTTATTAAAATATTAACTAGTATTACTTATACGGTTAATTAACAGATTTACTTTTATATTAGGCAAAAATATTATCAAAGGGTACATACGAAGAACTTCAGGCATCTAATATAGACTTAACAAACTATATTCAATCTTTTAAGTTACCAAATAATGAATATATCATTAGTAATGAAAGCATTTTAAATGCCGAACAAAAATCTACTTTTAAACAGCACACGTCAGTGACAAGTATCATTTCGTCAACTAGCGGAAGTAATTACAGTGAAAATACAGTAGAGCCTACTAGAATTAAAGAACCCCGAACATATGGAAACGTTTCATATGCCGTATATTTATTATATTTTTTGGCCGGTGGAAACAAGTGCAAAATATTATTTTTTATTTTTATCTGTATTCTCACTCAATCATTGTCCTCTATCGGAGATTTCTGGATAACATATTGGTAATGTACATGATCAGATCGCATATTAAGAATAAAATATTTACTTTTTTAAAATTCAGGGTAAACTTAGAAGAACATGTTTTTCAAAATAAAAATAATGTGTCTACTGCAAGTAATATTTTGTGGATGACAATTTCTCGAGAGACTTGTATAGATGTTTTTGGATGCATCACATTGTTCTTGATTATAATCACGACCATCAGATTAATTACATTTGTATCGATCAGTATGAGGGCTTCTATAAATTTACACAATAACATGTTYAATACTTTAATTAAAGCAACAATATACTTCTTTAATACAAATTTATCAGGTAAAAATGATTTTCAAATTTGTTTGATTTTCAAAAGTTTAATTTTGATTTTTTTTTTTTAGGATCTATTCTTAACCGTTTTTCAAAGGACATAGGCACTATTGATGAATTATTACCAAGTAAAATTTGTGAATAATACATTATCTATTCTTAACCGTTTTTCAAAGGACATAGGAACTATTGATGAGATGTTACCTGTATCCTTGTTAGATTGTATACACGTAATTAAATAGTACTTATCTCTTATAGAAAATAGATATTTACCCAACAGAATAATAATGTTATTTTTTTATTATAAATTATTATAACTAGAATGGATTGAACCTTTTGGGAGTATTGATTGTTGTTGGAATTATCAATATATACCTCATGATTCCAGCTATCATATTAGCATTTATTTTTTACAAAATCACGGTATTTTATTTATCATTATCGCGGAGTGTTAAAAGATTAGAAGGAAGTAGTAAGTAGAGATAATAATAGCAGGTAAAAATTATTATTTATTTTTATAATTTTAACATGATATAATTTATTTTGTGGGTTTTGTAATGAACAAATAATTAGCTCGGAGTCCTACATTTACTCATTTGAACGCAACTATTCAGGGTATAACAACAATAAGGGCATTTAAAGCGGAAAATATACTGTCTAAAGAATTTGATAATCACCAGGTATAAGCGTTAAATATTATTAAATGTGTCAAATTATAATAAAATATATGAAAATATTATAGGACTTACATTCATCGGCGTGGTATTTATTTATAACATCAAGTAGAGCATTTGCCTTTTGGTTGGATTTAATTTGCTTTATATATACAACCATAGTTACATTTAGCTTCATAGTAATTAGTAACAGTAAGATTATTATATATGTTATGAGTACTATGATACATAATTTAAAGAAATATACCTATGTATATATTTCCTAATAATAATTGATAATCGTATTAGCAACATTTGGAGGAAATGTTGGTCTTGCTATTTCGCAAACTTGTGGACTAGCTGGTTTGGTTCAGTTTGGCATGCGACAAACAGCAGAATTAGAAAACCATATGACGTCAGTTGAAAGAGTTTTAGAATACACAAATGAACCACAAGAATATTCGTTTGAATCTTCTACAGGTAAATTGGTTGTATTAATTGCGTTGAAAAATGTTTGTTTACTATGCTAATTTAAATTTTTTTTTTGAAATATAGTATCAATGTTTTATTTTTTATTTTTTAAGCAAAATCACTTATAAAGAATATTGTATTACATTTWTAAATCTTGGATATGAATATTCTTAATTTTAATAATTTAGAATTAAAAATAAAAATAATTGCGTATCGACTAAATTTGTCAAAATTATATCTAACAATAAAAGGCATACAATTTTTAAAATTTAATGCCCATATCTTTACTTCCCAAAATTATTTTTAAAAATGTTAAGAATTTTCGATTATAATCTCCTAAAAGTATCTACTAGGTTTTATTTTTAGTTAACCTTACTTTGATGGTTATGATGAGAGTATTTTTAAATCAATACATTCATATTTCTTCTAACAATTAAAAAGTTAAGTGTAACATTTCTATTATGCTATTATGCGAATAAAAGTTTTGTCCATAATGAAAAATTAAAATTAATCAAACACAAAGATCTAAACTAAAAGAACCAGAAAATGTTTGCTTGTAAAAAATAAATTGTCTGATTGTTTCAATAATATAACAATCTGTATTTCATTTTTGTTTTTAGACAAATTACCTTCTTTAAAATGGCCATCAAACGGTAGCATAATATTCAAAAACTTATATTTACGATATAGCCCAAAAGCACCATATGCAATTAATAACCTCAATATAAACATAGAATCAATGCAAAAAGTAATGTTTAGCTATTTTAATCTATACAATTAAATAGGTAATACATTTAGTTTGTTTTTTTAATATTTAGGTTGGAATCGTTGGTAGAACAGGAGCAGGAAAGTCGTCTTTAATTTCAGCCTTATTTAGATTGGCTATCAATGAAGGTAACATCACTATTGATGGTGTAGAAATACATGAATTGGGACTACACGAATTGCGATCCAAACTTTCCATCATTCCTCAAGAACCAGTATTGTTCTCTGGAACAATGAGAACAAATTTAGATCCATTTAATGAATACTCAGATCATATTATTTTAAATGCATTAGATGAAGTAATTATCGTCAAGGTTTAATACCTTTATATTAAAAACAAATAGATTCAAATTTCTAATTTATTACATACAATATGTGACATATTTTCATTAAGTTTAAAATATTAAACAGGTCGAGCTTAAGGATGTAGTTGAAAATTTACCTAATGGTCTTAACACAAATATGTCTGAAGGTGGTTCCAACTTCAGTGTCGGCCAAAGACAATTAATTTGTCTGGCTCGAGCTATAATTAAATGTAATAAAATTCTTATACTGGATGAAGCCACCGCTAACGTTGATCCACAGTATAATATAATATTTAATTTTTTTAATGTATTATTCAACAAAACATTAAACATTAAATTTTTTTTAAAAATTTTAGTACAGATGCATTGATACAAAAGGCTATCAGATACAAATTCCAAACATGTACAGTCTTAACAATTGCACATCGATTAAACACTGTAATTGATTCGGACAAAGTCCTTGTTATGGACAAAGGAACGATGATCGAGTTTGACCATCCTTATATTTTATTGCAAAATAAAGAAGGAGCTTTTTACAAAATGGTGGAACAAACAGGACCTGATACATCTGATTTTTTACATAGATTAGCTGCAGAGGTGCATTACTTATAATAATATTTTTATTAGTGAAACTTAGTTTAATATGAATATTTATATATTATTTTAGAGTTATCATTCTAGAAGTTGTATGGCAGAAACAAGATCCGAATCAATAGTCAATGATGCAGATGAAATTTCAACGGCAAATGTATAATATTATTTTTCATAATGTCACATACATATTATTGTATGTATTAACCTTCAACTTGTATAATTAAAAACCATTATACATATTAAACATAATTTGTTTCAATACATTTCACTTACAATATGTGTGATTGAGGGTTATCGTGTATAACTTATTTGTACCTATATCATTTTATTATTATTATTTTAATTCACTATCCTTTTCCAATCAGTATTATAAAAATAAAACTTTCAGCATTAATTTGATAATATTTAACTAGTAAAAAATTGTTAGAATTAAGACTTATTACCCGTCAATTAATCTTTAACATAAATATTTATATATTTCATATAATTTACCTTAATTTTGTTACAATCAACAACACTATTTCTTATAATAATGTAAATAAATGTATTAGCTCTCACTCAACAGATTGAATGAAGAAAAATAATCATATAAAATATTTTTTTTATAATGTATTATTTGTGATCAATATGATAATTTAATTATAGAAAATATAATATCCTTTATCTATCAATATAAAAAAATGAATTTTTTTTTATTAGCATTTGAAGTTCAAATATTGACAAAAATTCGTCAAAACCATGAATATTTAACGTTTTGGGGCAGTAAAAGTGCTTAGATTTTTGACTTCAGTACCTCGTTTGATCAGAAAGTGAATCTAGTTGGTACTTTGGGGGGTCAAAAGTGATAAATAATCGAGAAAAACAAACTAAAAATTAAGGAAAAACGGGAAATTTTACGCACACTCATTTTTCGACAAAATCGATTTTTATTTTTGATGTAATTTTAAAACAAATGACCATTGATACATGCAATTTTCATCCAATGTTTATATAAGTTACATTCTATTCACCATGAAATTTTCAAAAAATTTTGACTTAAGTTAAACTGTTCATAGATATTTGCAATTTTCGATCATTATTAGTTTTTAGATTCTGAACGAAGTGATGAATGTATTGATTTTACAACGATGTGTGTTTTTTTTTTGTGTGTCTGTGTACAGCATAACTAGTCAAAATATTCCGATGTAAAATTGAAGATCCTTGGTGCATTATAGAGGTCAAAAGTAAACATTTTCCAACAGTTTTCAAAAAAATCGAGAAAAACAAAAAAAAAAATGACAAAAAAACGAGAATTTTTACGCAAAACCAGTTTTCGACCAAATCGATTTTTTATATGGTTGTAATTCAAAAACTAATCTCTATAAATACTTGAAATTTTCACCAAATGTTTATGTCAGTGATATCTATATACAGTTTAATTTTCAAAAATGTTTGACTATTTTTGAATTACGTATAAACCACTGAAATTTTCGATTTTTTTTTTTGAAGTGTCGGTAAAAAAATGTTGGACGACCAAAAAAACTTGAAAATTTAATACAATGTTCCTTATGAGTTGTTCTTATTGTAGCCAAAAAAAATTAATAATCGTAAGTCACAATTTTTTTAATAAGCGTTTAAAGTTCAAATTTTTACGAAATTTGTCGAAAACGCGAAAATTTGCAAGTAATTTTGAAGTTGAAAAATCATAAAATTGTTTGTGTTTATAACTAAGGATTAAAAATACAACACTAAGTTTTCTATAAGTTTTCCTTCAAGTATCATAATAGCAAAAATTTTAAGTGCGTTTGAATTTTAAATTTTTACGAAATAGCGTAACGATAACGATTTATCCTCAAACGATTTTAAACATTTGTTATTATTCAAAAATTATAAGTCGTAGTTACTTGAAAATTTTACCAGTTATTTAGATTAGAATTTTCTTTACAAGATTTAATTTTAAAAATATTTTGACTTTTTTTGAGGTATTTATAGACAACTAAAATTTTCAATTTTTCTGAAAATTTTTTTTTTTGAAGTGTCGATAAAATTTTTTTAGCACTATCAAAATACTTGAAAATGTAATACAAAGTTCCTCATAAGTTATTCTTATAGTGATTAAAAAATTATAAGAATGCATAAGCACAATTTTTTTTTATTAGCATTTGAAGTTCAAATATTGACTTAGTACGTAAAAATTACGGCAATGTTCAAATTATCTTAGATAGAAATTCATAAAAGTTTTTCTTTTTAAATCTAAGATTTGAACATTTAATACAAGGCTCCTTTCATATTTTTACAATAGCAGTTGAAAAATAAATGAAATATATATGCACAATTTTTTTTTAAAAGCATTCAAATTATTTTGTAGTTCAAAATTCATAATATTGTTTGATTACGATTTATCCTCAAACCCGATATATGTATATCTATGATAATATAAGGTATTATGAATTATGRTAACTACATGCAATGTTTTTTGGAAAAATTGATTAACCATGCCTTATTCAAAATGCKTCCTAATTGAAAAATAATATATTTGTTTCAAAATAGAATATATGACAATATTTAAATATAATATATCCTAGACTGACAAATCATCTCCGTTCAGAATCATTTTTCGTATACAATGATACCTATCATTGCATTCAAATCTAACCTACCCTAGTTAGAGGTCCACCCCACATGTACAGCAGATCGACATCCACTTGCCAGCTTTTTTTTTAATTAATATCGATCAACWTTTTTTTGTTGGGTAGAAAAGCTTGAAAATTTAATACAAGGCTCCTAACATATTGTTACAATAGGAGTTGAAAAATAAAATAAATATATAGTCACACTCTGTTTTTATAAGCATTAGTTTGAATTTTGACAAAATACGTAAAAATACCAAAAATTCCAGATTATTTTAAGATAGAAATTCATAAAAATTTTCTTTTTAAATCTTTGATTTGAAAGTTTAATACAACATTGCTTACATGTTTTTCAATCTTTATCAGAAAAAAAAAAAAAATGTTCACCAGAAATTCAAATTAAGTTGTTATGAACGTTTGAAATTTAAATTTTTACAATATTGGATTTTCACCAGATTTCTCATTTAGCTATTTACTTACTAGGTGTAACTCTAAAACAATTAATGGCCGCAGATACTTGAAATTTTCACTACATGTTTATATAGGCATTTTCTATATTTGATAAGATTTTCAAAATATTTTGATTAGTTTTGAACTGTTTACTGACATTCTAACTTTTCAATTTTTTAATTTCAATTTTTTATTTATGTGAAACGGTCGTTGAGGGAACTGGTTTTGATACTCGTGGAAGTTTGGGCGAGACCGTTTTCGACCAAAAACGTACCCTTCCCTTTTCGGCCGATTCACTTTTCGACCAAATTTAAAAAA